TATAATAAGCATAAAGTGACTAATAAAAAACATATATTTTAACTATTTATAACTTAAATGGAATGAGAAGATCGGAAATAACCAGCCAATTAAAAAAATTTACAAAAATTGATTCAGTTCTTCGTTTTGGATAACTAAAATATTTATGATACTAATAACATTGAGACAATGTGAAAAGCGAGAGAAAATCTTAAAGAAAAACAAAGAATAAAAAAGAATCCATATTGAATTGTGACTCATATGTGGAAGCATGTTGTGGACATAGACTACAACAAGAGCACAAAAAGAAAGTTGTTTTGAACTCCCCAAAAAGTAGCAATTTCCTCTGGAAAATTCATCCTAGCTTCCCTTATCATTTCATTTTTTACTATATGAATAATGGGGGTTGTCTCATATTAGAGGTACGGACAGAAGTAATTAAAATCCCTACTAAGCCTGTCATAAATATACAACAGACAGAAGTAATTAAATTCCCTACTAAGCCTATCATAAATATACATACATATATATATATATATATATAGATATATTTTTCCATTTTGTACTTGATCATGTTGCAATCACATCATCCTAACATTCTCAAACTGGTTACTCAAAATTCATTTATCATGATGACCCTCGAAGCAAGCATAGTCAAATCTAATGATCCACCTCCTTTCTATATATATATATATATATATATATATATTTTTACCCCCCCTTTTATATATGCACACGTGCTCGGATCTATTGCTGTAATCAGAGACGGATCTAGAGGTAGGCGAAGGTGGACTTTAGCATTTTTTTTTACCACACTACTTTAAGCCCAATCCAAAAAAAAAAAAAAATTATTAATGATAACTTACTCCAAATTAGCCCAATCCAAAATTAGCCTTCTCCATTTAGAAATGTTGGATCCACTCTTGACAGCAACGATCTCTATGTACAATGGTGCCAGTAATTCTGGTTTTAAAAATATTTACTTTTGTTAATATATTAATTTTATTTTTTAATATATTAAATCTGACTGAAATAGGTAATAATGTGCTTAAAAATCTTACAACACTGTTTTGTACATAACAAAGGATCTGAATATATACACATACGTTTATGCATACATACATATTTATGCTAGTAGAAAATTTGGTTAAAGGTGTTTATATCTAAAATTATCTTCAGCCTCGTGGAGTTAGAATTTTGTAATTAGAATTGATGAAATTAAAAAAAAAAAAATTTAAAATAAATTAAAATTTTCTTCAATTTTATTAATTCTATATCCAAATATTAAACTTTAATTTCATGCCACAAAATACAACCTAAAAATATTATACATGTCATTATCCAAATGCCCTTCTTGTTGATGTTATTGAACCTTCTCCAATATACTGAGAATCAAGTTAAGCCTCATCAATTATTGGGGTCCCGTATTCTTGGCATATGTGAGATAATATCCTCACTAAGGAAGAAGCCAAGTGATTCGCAACTTTGAACTTAACGCAATCTATATCTTCCCATGTATTTCTATCTCTATTTATTTTAAAATATTGAAGTTAATTGGCATTGGTCAAACATAATTATTCAAAAGATTTCAAGAAAATTAATGGGTGTTAAATTGTTAATACTATATAATCAAGAGATCTTCGGGTAGGTCTCTAAGAATCCATGAAATCTAATGCTTACGGTGGTATGCTATGAAGCACGGACACTCCTTCCAGGGGTCTCGTACCCGTGTTGGATACTTTTCGGACACCGACACCCGTGTCCAAGGCTCGAACACGTGTCCGACACTTCTATAAAGTGTCCAAATATTATTTTTTATTGGACATGCGTGTCCGAGGCTCAGACACACGGTCCGACACTTTTGTGAGACAAAATTTATTTTCTCACTTCTCTCAGTCTCTCCTCTTCTTTAATTATCTCTCTTCATGAACAAGATATATATATATATATATATATATATATATATATTTAAAACTTTGTGAAAGACTAAAAGTATACATATTTATTCATATACATATTTAGTTCATTATAACTATGTCTCTTCTGCACATCTTCGTTTGGAATTTGGATCAGCTTTATTTTTCATTTATTTTCTATTTTGTCTTGTCTATATTTTTCTTATAATAGAGATGAAATTATTGAAATTGATTATGTTATTTGTTGTTATTTTATTTATCTGTACAAGATTCTAGTAATTACATTTTGAATATATAATTATATATATCTATATATATATATATATATATATATAGGGGTATCCCCACCGTGTCCGTGTCCTATTTTTTTGAAATTTGTCGTGTCGTCGTATCTGTATCGTGTCGTACCTGTGTCCCGTATCCGTATCCGTGCTTCATAAGTGGTATGTATCCGAAATTTTCAAAAAAATTAAATTTTTACTAGACATGACATACTTTAATCACGCCAACATTTAATTTGCTAATATTTTAATATGTACCTGTATCGTGATTAATGGCATGAATATTGAAGTCAACCCCCATTTTTTTTTTCTTTTCTTCCTAGCATTTAAAACCTTAGTTGAATTTGTCCATTGATTGTCATTTTGGTTCATTTTTAAGCAGCATGGAGTGTTTGGACCACTTCACTGATCTCCATGAAATTAAAAAAAAAATAATATGGTATTTAAAATCACAAGACTGTATTGATATATCAAAATAAGATATGCCAATTGTTTTACATGGGAATAGAATGTAGTGGTTCATTACCCAAATGATCAAATTGTTTATTGGACCATAATTGAGGTCCATCCATCCCACATAACCTAGTTCACCAACCCTACGCTCTATAAATCCTTGTTTGACGTATTGCTTTAACTTCAATAAAATGCCAATGTAAAACATTAATTGATGATCTTTAGTGTCTTATATGTGACATGGTGTTGTGTGTGTGTGTGTGTGTGTGTGACCAAATTGTTAAGAATCTGTTAGAGATAGGTGTTGTGTTGTCGACCTTGTGATATTGCATCACCTCTTATATCATCCGCGTTGGATGGTTTTATAAAAATAATTTCACAAAATGGGATCTTCTCTCACCACTTTATTCGCATGGAACAGCATGCTTTATACTGTGTGTGTGTGTGTTGGCAGATTGGGGGTGGGCTGAGGCACCATATATGACAAATTGGAGTGGATTACCAAACTAATCTATCGTGTTATTTCATATTGTTCTAGATCATTGATTTTATAATAGGGCACAAAGTTGTATAAATAATTTTATATTGCACTGGACACTACCTAATCAAACATCTTGATTTAATGCTAAGATTATTAAACAACATATTGGAGAGTTACAAAGCATATGCTTAGGTGGATCAGCAGATTTGAGTTGGAGGCGACAAATTTGACACTATCCGTCAATACGATATAATATAAACGGCTTTGGATTTATCTTAATTGAATTTGGGTAATAAACGGGTCGATATAATTAATTCGTTTAATTAATCGTGTTAGGGTTGAGGGGTTCAACATTTGTAACCCGTTTAACTAAAAGTTTCATTATCGTGTTAATATTTCACTCATGTAATTCTTTCCTTATTTAAACCCGATTATTATAGACAATTAGGTCATTTCAATACAAATTCTAAAATAAATATAGCTAATGTATATATTTTTTTGGGTACTTTTTATTGTTTGACTGAGTATTAGAAATAATCTAAATAATATAATATTTGGTTTTGGTAGATAGGTCATTAACAGGTTAACACAATAACCCATGTAATTTTTTTTAATAAATAGGCAAAGTTAGTGTAGAAATTTTTAACATGATTATTAAATGGATCATGTTCAAGTTGATTTCTTTAATAAAAAAATATTCTTAAATTCATACGATACGATTTTGACCAATCACCCCTCACTGAAGTCCAAGGAAATTTATCCGAGTAGTAGTATCACCTCCGTTAAAAACTAATTGAGCAAGGCGGATCCCAATTTTATTTTTTACTATAATTAAATTTAATCCATCCAAATATATATATATATATATATATATATATATATATATATATTATTGATATTACCCACTCAAAAAAAAATATTAACCCGCTTGAGAATTTTTGAATTGGCAATACTAACTACCAAAAATAGTTGTAATTTTAGTAAATGATAAAGTTTAAGTTTCCATATAATCAAATGAGTGTACGACTATTGGCCAAGTAAAAAAAAAGAGGACTGTCAGTCTGTTTTGAGGACTGTCAGTCTGTTTTGTTGAACTTGGTGACTAAGTTATCCGAACTTGGTGAGTAAGTTATGCCAGCTCAAAACCCTAGTTTCACCCTCAACGGTTTACATTCTCATTTAATAAAATGATGATATATGGAGTATTATTTACAGAAGTGGAGTACTTTGTTTAATTCTTTTGGTAGAATGTTAATATCATATTCACAAACTAAAATTTAAATTAAAGTCAGATAAAATCAATTATGATGATATGTCAAAATACAATCTCACAATTTAGTGTTGATCCCCCATAAATTAAATGTCAAAAAGGAAAAATAATTAATATGAATTGACTTTATTTTTACTAAAGAATTATTTAATATAAAACTATGTACTCATGCTACTTTACTATTACATCAAATAACACTCTTAAAAAATACAATAAAAATAACCCTATTAAGATATTTTTATGGAGAGATATGGTACCCCCAATAATGTGACTAATCATTATTGAAATATTGTAGTTAATTTTTTAATTACTATTACTCTAAAATGGCAATAATAGACGAATCACTATTGAAATAGTAATGGAATAAAAAGATTTAATAGTGACTGAATGGCAATAAAAGCTTAAAAAAATATTGAATACAAAAATAATAAAAAAATGATAAGACCTAAGAATATGAAAACATGAAAATGAAAGGAAATTAAGAGGAAAGTAGGAGGTCAGTTCCTTGCACCCAACGTATCTTTCGGTTCGGGTTCGGAGCTAGGTTCGGCTCCAGACTTTGAGCAGATAAGAACGACCCAACTCAGCCGCCATCCCTACAAGAACCCCTCTTTCGCTCTTCACCGCCTCCACTTCATATAATCTCTCTCTCTCTCTCTCTCTCTCTCTCTACAACAATTCCTCTCTCTCTATACATACACACACTCTCTTTCTCTCTCTAACTCCATTGATAAAAAGAAACACAGAGCAGTACTTTCGTGTTCTTCAAACTGGCGATCGATAACCAAGAATCGAGTGTCCGAGAAATCAAGCCCAAGAACAGGCGAATCATGGTAAGGAAGAGATGCTTTCTTTGTTTTCCTCTCACATTCGCTCATTTTCTTTCTGATTCTCGTCTTTTCTGGCATGGGTTTGGGTATATTGATCTAACTTTTCTGTTTTGGTGGGTGGATTCATTTTTTTTTTGGTAGGGAGCTGGAGGTCCTGTCGATGAAGATAACAGATGGCCTCCTTGGTTGCAGCCTCTTCTCCAGCAGACATTTTTCGTTCAGTGCAAATCACATTCCTATTCACACAAGAGCGAATGTAATATGTATTGTTTGGACTGTATGAACGGTCCTCTCTGTTCTCTCTGTCTCCAGCACCACAAGGACCACCGTGCCATTCAGGTTTGATAATCTTTACTAAATCTTTTGATTCCTCAATTTTCATTCAATTTTAGCTTCTGTGTTCTTACTATATTTGTCAATTAATCCATTCCCATATCAGTTCCTCCCACTGTCCTCCAATGGAATCTGTAAATTTTTTTTTTTTTTTTTGGGGGGGGCAATATGGTCCTATGGACACTCTCTTCTCAATATTAAATTTATTCATCATGGGTTTTCTATTAATTTTGAATTATTAGATTATGTATGTATAAAATCATGGTTTTTCAATGGGTTTGCTCTGTTTTTCATTGCTGTTATATATACATTTATGGTTATTGATTGTCTACTGGGCTTGCTCCGTCTGTCATTGTTGATGAATTGATGTAGTTTGTATAGTTGTTCATTAGATTTTAATTGGGGTTTTTTCTTCTTGTGTTTGGCAGATACGGAGGTCATCGTACCATGATGTGATTAGAGTGTCTGAGATTCAAAAGTACCTGGACATCGGTGCAGTGCAGACCTATGTTATCAACAGTGCAAAGGTTGTGTTTTTGAATGAGAGGCCACAGCCAAGGCCTGGCAAAGGTGTCACCAACACATGTGAAGTCTGCGAGCGGAGCCTCCTCGACTCCTTCCGTTTCTGCTCTCTTGGTTGCAAGGTAATACAATGTCCATAAATTGAATTATTGCTGTTGATTTGATTCCAATATGAACAACTTGAATTGGGTATTTATCTGATTTTTCAACTGACTGGCATGGAGCAAATTGCCCACCTTTCTTGCTTGTGTTGGACACATTCCAATTTTGATTCCAAAAATGGGGAAGTTGAATTGGGTATTTCTCTGAATTTTCAATTGAATGGCATTGAATAAGTTGCCCACCTTTCTTACTTGTGTTGGACATTCCAATTTTGATTCCAAAAATGAGGAAGTTGAATTGGGTATTTCTCTGAATTTTCAATTAAATGGCATTGAATAAATTGCCCATTTTTCTTAGTTGTTTTAAACATTGAAATTTTGGTTCCAAAAATGAGGAAGTTGAATTGGGTATATCTCTGAATCCTCACAATTAAATTGCATTGTACACATTGTTGTCCATCTTTGGTAGTTGTTTGGGATATTCAAAATTTTACTTTGATATATGGAGATGTTGAATTGGGTATATCTCATCTCATATTGCTCAATTGAATGGCATTAAATGAATTGAGAAACTTTGGTAGTTGATTTGGACATTCAGATTTGGACTTTAATATGAAAATTTTGAAATTGGGTATGCCTCTAAATCCTCAATTGGTCTGACTTTGGAAGTTGTTTTGGTCATTCAAAAGTACATGTCAAGAGAAATTTGTCACTGGTTTGAGTTAATTATGATATATGATTTTGTGACTAATCTTTGTAATAAATGGAATTGCAGATTGTGGGAACATCCGGTAATTTCCAGCCACGGTTGCCGGAGAAAAAGCGGTCACGGATAGCAGCATTAGCAGCATCGGACTCGGATGGATCATACGGTAGCAGCAGCCGCCGCCTCCGCCTGCAGGAGGGCAATGACCACCACAACAAAGTCCAGAGCTTCAGTCCGTCAACACCACCTCCAACTGTGGTTAATAACAGAACGGCCAAGAGAAGAAAGGGTATTCCCCACAGAGCCCCAATGGGGGGAGGATTCATCATAGAATATTAGCCCCACTACTTCTGCTTAATGACGCTTGTGCCCCACATATACAAACTGATATTATAGTGATCCCCACCCCTAGTCCCCTTTCAAAGAATAGCGCTGGAAATAACCCTAGTTTATATCTTTATCTGTCTCTATCTTTATCGTATATACAAAGGGCTAGAGTGAAATTAATATAATGTGGAAGGACTAATAGTTGAAGGCAGTGTTTGGGTTTTAGAATATACAAAGCATAGCAATGTTTATGTTAAGTTTTCCTCTTCTACTGGTGGGTGGAAATGTAAATATGCTTTTGTACTATGTTTGTTATCTTTGGTATGGGATGGCAATGTTCTACTCCTTTGTCTATATTATATATTATATATATAATGAAATAAGAGATGTTTGTATATTCTGTGGCTTTAGGCACATATTTCTACTTTTAGAAATTATTGGGAAGTAGAAAACCTCCAAATATTGGGTCCCACTATGGATGGTATGTGAATGGGTTGATATCCTGGTAATGTCACACTTAATGCAAGTGGGTGGTGATTGGTTAATGAAGACAAGGTGTTGTCTAGATTCTAGGTATGCCTTTCTCGGATATGGTATGTTTTGGGTGGTGTTATTGTGAGATAAGTTTGTCCTAGGCTGTTGTCACAGTTATAGATAGTAACTAATTTATTCATGTCTTAGGTAAGGTAAAAGAAAAATGTTAATATTGTGTGTTGGGTAACTTGGGACTCTTACGACCTTCAAGTCACATTAATTTTATCAAAAAGAGAGTTTGTTTATTTCATGGTAATTTCCTAATGTTTTGAGTTGGGGGTGGTGGATTGTTGGACTTCAAATTTATATAAACTTCTAAAAAACTTGGTCTTTGTACATAAATTATGTAACAAGTTGGGCAAAATATTGTGGACTCAGCTTAAATTATATACATCTCCAAATATTATGACATGCTACATAGCATATGAATTTTATGTTTATGGATACTGGAGTCCTTAAAGAAATAATTCCCTTTTTTAGGCAAATACAAATTTTATATTAAACGAGTAGGTAAGTAGATAGGTTTTTATTTTTATTAGAAAATGTGATACATTTCTTGTTATTTATCCGGTCATCAACAGTAGTCAAATGTGTCGCTGTTAAATTGCATAAGAGACTCTTGTTACTCTCTCTCTCTCTCTCTCTCTCTCTCACACAGAGGCGCGTGACTACATCAAATAGCATGTGAATCAAATTTGAACTTTGATGTTAGCAAACCATGTCTTAATTTTTACCCAAAAAAAAAAAAAAAAAAAAAAAAAACTGTCTTAATTATATGGAAAAATGAAAACTGTCTTAATCACAAATGTAAAATTTAAGGCCGACAAAAATTTATAAATCATCTTACTACGTGATCATGGGAACACCATTTACACATGAGAAAAGAAATATACAGGGACGATATAAGACTAATGTGTACTGTAAACTTGATTACATATAAATATAAATTTGTATATATTTATTGACTAAATTTATTATAGAAATTTAATTCGTTCCTGATTTCTATAGACAAATTCAAAACATGAAATTATATTTTTACTACATTACAATTATAATTTTATTAAATTTACTTTGGCATTACAATTATATTTTTATTGTATGCTTGTAATTGTGTGTATAATCAATTTTTTTTTAATAAAAAGTTGGATATTAATTTAAGATCATCAAATATGATTATTGTAGATATGTTATATAAAACTTGTGTTAATCAATTATTGGCGACGTGTATGGATCGGTTAATTATTAAAAATAATTAAATTTATTTTTATATCATGTGATACATGAAAATGTCATGTCTAACACAAATATGACATGGATACTACTGTTATAGAAGCATCTATGATTTGTAAAAAAAATTTTACCTTGTTATAATGCAGTATTTAAGTTTTGGATGCGTTTTAATAAAAAATTATTACCCAATAAAATTGGTTCCTTTTATTTATAAGAAATAAGGGCTATAAATTAATATGGTTCATTTTTTATTAAGTGAACCAAAAAAAAAAGCCATAGCAATATGTTTAGGCGTGTGAAATAGGAGGTAACACGTGGAAATGTTGTTTTTTGCGGGTGAGTCATCCTAGAGAAACTGACTAGTCGACACGTTGCATAATTATTTTTTAATTATTTTAACTTAAGTGTAAATTGAGTGGACCTTGTACTGCCACGTGTTGCAGATTCACGACGAATTTGTATAACTTCTGTTAGTAATGTGCCACGGCATCATAGCACCATTCGTGGTACTCAATCGAACACTCCACGTGGCCACTACACCAGGAGTCCCCACTCAATCAATCAGATATTATCGTATAATGAGTCCCACTCAATGCCAATTGATTATATGGCACTTAATTCCCCAAAATAATAATAATAATAATAATAATGATAATAATAATATTATGATGACAATGGATTAAAAACATATGGAGATGAGTTTCATATGACAAATAAAGATAAATTAGTCTCATTGATTGAAGAATGATAGGTAAACTTGGGTAAAAATTCGTGTCGATTGAGGGATTGGGCTTAGAGAGACAACATAATCAATTTCCAAATTCCAATACTACATGTTCAACAAACCTCTATTTAAGTGTACTTTTTAAAGTGGCATTCCAAATTTTAATTGCTTTACTGACATCAAAGTTGATTTAATGTTAGTTCTTTTTTTTTTTAATATTAGTTCAACACAACCAAAAAAACATACAAAAGGCAGTTATCTTTTTCCTTTACTTTCTAATAAAATGATATACAGATTTAATGAGTGAAAATAATACTATATATATATATAATGCATAGATAGATAAAATGCTTGTTTTTGTAAAAATTGTGTTAAGAACTTAAGAGTGGTGATCCCTTTTACCAAAAAAACACTTAAGAGTGGTGATCTTTATCTTAAATAAATAAATAAATAAATAAATAAAAAATTTAAGAGTGGTGATTATCATCCACTTGACAAGTGGACTATGTCATGATAGTTATGACAGATAATGCCATGGTGTGAGTCTTAAAAGTGAGTTCAATACTTCAATGATCTATTTTTTTATCATTACCTTGCCCAAAAAAACACTGTACACCATATCTCTACGTTGACTTATACTCTCGACTTGTTAATTATTGTATAAAAGTGTGTATAAAAAGTAAGAAAATACTATTTGCCTATAGCTTTTGATATATTCTTTTAACTATTTTTGTTCTTTACCAACTGATAAGAGTATTTCTGTCAACTGGACTATCCAACTCATATACGCATCTCGAATAACATTAATTAATAAAGTACATGTTTATATCTTTTTAAAGTCCAATCGTTTCCTACAATAAATTTAGGATTACGTTTTGTATTAAGTAAATTAAGTCTATAAGAACTTGGAAAAAAAAAAAGCCAATCAATCATTAATAAAAAATAGTTTAAATGTGATATTACCAAATTGAATCACATTCAGCCAAATTTAAAGCTTAAATATCCAATCCACATTGTGTAACTCATCATTTGCGCTGAGTCTCTATCATTAACCCACCATTTGGAGAAATTATTATTGACGTGAGAGTTTTTCATTATTGAGAGAATCTAACAAGTCTTTGCATTGACATCAACCTAACTATCTCTGTTCTTATTTGTTGTGGTAGGAGTCATTTCATTTCATAAATACAGCAATTTTGGGTGCTTACAACTATATACAAACCCTCCTCTTTGGTGATTGATTAGGCAATTGCTCAACTACACTTGAACTCAACAGTTTAGGTTTAAGATGCTTTTAGTTGTCTTTGTGCATTAAAGAAGAAATTGATTAGATTGACTTCAAACTTTGTGTTTCATAACGATTATTTTATGATATAGATAGAAGCGCGACATTGCGTTTATTTTTATTTATTTATTTTTTACCTTGACAAATAACTAATATACCTAATTTTATTTTTACCTTTCACTTAAAAAAGTTTAAAATATATATATATATATATATATATATATATATATATATATATATAAAAGTTAGGTGATTTAACATTGATTTTTTTTTTTTTTTTTTTTTTTTTTTTTAACATTGTTTCACTACTATATTTTTACATGATAACTTGAGATTGGTCTTAAAAAACAGCAAAATTTTAACACGAATATTAAAATAATGGAGTCTTTTCGTAGGATTGAAAAAAAAAAAATTGACAGATACAAAAAGTTGTGGAACTATTGAAGGGTACATCACAATTATATTGATTAAGTTTGAGAAAGGATGATAAGAAATGTTTAGGAGTTGGCAGACATTTAATTAAGTAGGTCAATTCTAACACAAAATGGCAAAGCCATCATACAAGAGGTCAACAATTGCGTACACAATTATAAATATTATTATTAAAGAGGGAGGGACACGAAAACCTTGAAAATGGGCAACATCGGCACGCAAAGTTGCTTTTGACCACTAATAAATCTACATTTCGTCATGTCAAATGTCACCAACAAAAAAAATATTTGTACGCGATTGTATTTATTAGAATTCTCTTCTATTATATGTACACAAAAATACTAGAAAAATAGTGCATTATAACCAATAAAAATAAAGATTTTCTTGACAATGATAGTAACTATTTAAAAGTATTAAGTGAACCTGAGAGAGAGGGGAATTATAATTTATAAATGTGTCTCTCACTTTTATCTTCTATATGAATTTGAATGTTCTCTCATGTTAATTTTATGCTCGCTCTTGTATCTTCAAATTGTTTGTGCAATAATTCATATAACAACAGAGTAGTTATTGCAAACGATAGCTACTCTGTTAGTAACTATTCTGTTTTGATGTAATGTCCATTTTAACTTTTTTTTTTTTTACTAAAAAATTATGCGTACAAAGTGTTTATTATGCATAATGAAATAAGTTGTCCATGATATATTCCATGCTTTTTCTTTTTATAATGTAGTGTTCACTTGTTCCGTAGAAGAAAATGGAGAAAATAAAAAATAACTTATTAATCATTGTATAGGTGCAGCTAAATGTGTTTGGCTTGCCAGAAAGGGCAAAAAAAAAGAAAAGAAGAGAGTTTGGGTCCCACTTTAATCAAGTTGCCTAAGCGATTATGTCACTAGTTAACTAATTCTTATCTTATGATGATAAAAGAAGCCACTTTCATGGCCCCACTATGCTGATGTTTCCTTCTCTCTCTCTCACACACACAAACACACACACCCGAATACCCATTGTTTAGTCTAATGGTCAGGTCACCAACATTACCTACTTTGGTGTTTCTAATGGTAATGCGCTTCACTTCTTCTAGAGTTCTTTCCCATATTGTTTTCCAGACCTACACTTCTCTTTCATAAATTATTGCACATTCTT